AACCGTGGATTGGGAAGAGAAGAATTCGATTAAAAGTGAGACCACAATAGCTTCGGGACTTTCAGAACTCATTTCGATGGATGAAAAGAATTTAAACTAATTGCCGACGATTATATACGAGAAATAAATGAAGAACTGTGGATGGTTTGAGTAAACGACCTTTCATCCCGGCAAAAAAAGCATAAAAAGGAAATGATTGTGACTTTACTTTTGTGTTTCGAGCGAATGCGAGGATTGTTTCGACTTACAAAATCCTCATCAGAAAGATTACAGCGGTTAGAATTTCCATGTCCGTTGCACTTTCAACGACGACACGATTTCAGTTCGAGATAATTGAAGAAAGTGCAGCAACCCTTACAAATGTCTTAAGCAATTCAATCTGATTTTGTAACTGTTTCCGCTGATACGAAAATCAAATAGTTTAAATCTACTTTCTGTATTATAAAATGTTATATTTATAACAATAAAAAAAACATAATTTATTGAATATATTTGGGAATCCATACAGAAAATACATTTAAAAGAATTTTTTTATTAAATTCTATAGTTTATTCAACAATACATTGCTTATGATTTAATATAATTCGAAAAACTCTTTATTAGAATTGCATAAAAAAATGTATAAACATTAACTTCGTTGTCTTCAAGTTTTATTAAATTACTCATGAACTACCCAAGCGAATTAAATCAGTGAATACTCAAATTGAAGATAAAAGTCTCTTTCTAACGAACCTATTGGCAAGTTTGTGCTATCATCCATTCGTCTGCTACGAGCTGTTAAAAGTGTGAATGCTGAAAAAACCGTCTTCACGTCTTATTTAATTACTGGATAACCACGATTTTTCTCAAGTTTCATTAAATTAATCATCAAAGACGTAAGCTAATTACATCAACGAATGCTCAAACAAAAGATGCAAGTCTCTCTTTTCCATTTGAAAGTTTGTATTGTTATGCATTCGTGTAATTCAATAGAATTAATTGAATTGAAAAAAAAATCATTAAAAACACAAACTTTAATGCAAAATACAATTAGTTTATTTACGTGAAAATGTTGTTTTTTTTTTTGCCGATAACAGTGAAATACAATGAATTTAGTAGTTATAATGACTGACTCATAAATAGTTGATTCATTGTGGTTCTATAAAATTTTCGTTGGCCGCAGAATATCACTTTCTTAATAATACGTTTGTTATCTACATATTAATGAGTGATTAATATACGGAACTAACGAATTTAATTTAAGTGATGTCTCACAGCTTCACGGCATAATGAAGAAATTTCTGTGACAGTTTATAGTTTTTTTTTACATCAGTTTCCATAATACAGGTTTACAATCTTGTTTACTTTCTTCCAAAACTGTTCTTCTCTAACTTTATAAACTAAATAATAATATTTTGCTTCTGTATTAAGAATAAATATCGTAAATCTGAAAAAAAATCAAATTAACTCATGTTTCTGCACATCACAAAATATGACCTATCAAATTCAGTCAAATCTTGACTGTAATTAGGACCAGGACCAGATTTTTTTTAATTGGACAAAAGTTCGATTAACTATTAAGCTTTAGGAAACATTTCGGTAGTCAAAATTGCCGGTAAAACCAGTTAAATGTAAGTCTTAATTATCACTTTATATAAGTATAAATTATAATCAATTTTATTATACTCTGTTGTTTATACTCAAACTGTTTATATAATTATTATTATTGTTGATGGAAGATTGTAGAACATCTAGTATAACTTATGACACATGAGACTATCATCGTTTTGTTTTTATTGTGTTTTCTTTTCCGTACAACACTTTCAACAGCGTCCTCGATCCCTTGTCAACCTTTTCATCCTTTCCCACAGACACACACACACGAAGATAAACTCTAAACGATCCGAAGCTTTCCACGCGCCGGCCTATATCGCCCGTATAATGGTAACATTGTTTCGGTTCTCTTTGCTTCCTTCCTCGAGCGCCTAATTAATCAAACTAGGGATACTGGGAATTCGTTTTCTAATTCTCAATCCTGTCGACGAGACGAATGGACTCAATTATATGAGGGTCTCGGACAACACGTATATAATTGTTGAACAAGTTGTTTTATCGAAGGACCAAGTTGTGGGTGAATAATAACATAAACTATATACGACCAACTCTAACGTATATTCAACAATAATAATTCTGTTCAACTCTCAACTTATATTCTAATAATAATAATTCCATTCAACTCTCAACTTATATTCTAATACGATAATTCCAACTCTTAAACTTATATTCTAATACCATAATTCCATTCAACTCTCAATTTATATTCTTTCCTGCCGTGCTTATCTTTACAAGCCTAGCGTTACTCTTTTTTCCGGCGCACGGTGTTGCCACCATTTACATTGGCGCCCAAACACAAGTTGTCGAGGAAGAGCAAAAAGATTTTTTTCTTCTTCTGATAGTAGATGGGTTTGGTTTTGCTTGGTTTGTTGGATGGGGATGATTGATGGTCACCGGAACACCACAAATCTCTCTTTCTGTCTCAAAAGGCGTGACATTAATATGTAACAGGCAGAGAGGTGCGAGCTTTTGCTGCACGAGATAACAATACCTTGAAATAAATGCGCAAACCTTTCCAAGAATTCTACCGAATACTAATTCGCATGGAGAATACGTGTTTCAATTAAACCCGACTCTTTCTACCTAAATATTATAAATAAACTTTACACTCTATATAAGCAAAATAAAAATACAATCACAATTTTTGTTTACATTTCTCAATAATAATAAAAAAAGAATTGCACAATTGTTAGAAATAATGAAGTGTCCAGTGTTATTAAATCAAATTGTATATAGTGAGTACACTCACTCCCAGTATGACACACTTTGCTATTTTTAGGTTAGGTTGTCGCACTCTCGACTTAGTTATAGAATTGTAACCGAGAAATGACGATTTTTCGATGTCTTCTCGTTTTATTGAATTACTCATCAAGTACGTAAGCTAATTAGAACAAAGAATACTGAAATAAAAGATGAAACTGTCGCCTTTCCAACGAGCTTATTATCATTTTTTGCGTTATCTTCCATTCATCTGCTACGAGCTGTCAAATATGTCATTGTAGAAAAAGCACAATCTTCACGTTTTATTCAAATACTAGATAACAATGATTTTTCAATTTTCTCCAGTTTTACTAAATTATTCATCAACAACCCAAGTTAATTAAATCAGCAAATACTCAAATGAAAGATGAAAGTTTCTTCTTTCCAATGAGCCAATTGGCTATCATCCATTCATCTGCTACGAGCTGTCAAATATGTCATTGCAGAAAAGCACAATCTTCACGTTTTATTCAAATACTAGATATCAATGATTTTTCAATTTTCTCCAGTTTTACTAAATTATTCATCAACAACCCAAGCTAATTAAATCAGCAAATTCTCAGATGAAAGTTTCTTCTTTCCAATGAGCCAATTGACAAATTTCTGCTATAATCCATTCATCTGCTACGAGCTGTCAAATATGTCATTGCAGAAAAAGCACAATCTTCACGTTTTATTTAATTACAGGATTATCACGCAACCGAATTACATAATTCAACAAAAATCGTAAACTGAAAACTGCCACCTATCTAAATATTCTAACATAAACATTTCGATTTTGAAAGTTTGTGAAAATATACAAAATTTTGCAAAAACATTATTAAATTACTCATCAACGACGCAAGCAAATTAGATAAACGAATATTCAATTGAGAGATGAAAGTCTCGCCTTTTCGAAGAGCTCATTGGCATTAATGAATCTATTACGAATTTTTGAGCAAATTTTGCTAAATTTTGTGACAAACATTTTTCATTAATAACTCGAAAAATAAAACACATATTGGCATGTTTTTTTTTGTTGAAAGTATTGTAAAGAAAATAACAAGTAATTCATCATTTGGGGAAATTGCAAATCAACACCGAACCCATACGAGACTGGGACTGTTTAACAGTGTTCATGAAACAAGACCCGAACCGAAACGCTGGAGTGCCACATGATGATGGACTTGTCAATATTAATCAAAGTTCTGCAAACGCCAGAAAATCAATACGCGCTGCGATTGTGATTGCATTCCAAAACTGGAATTCACGTGCAGAGTGTGTGTGTGCTTCAACCAGCCCAATGTTTAAACACCTGAAAGTAAATAAACCAATCCATTTTCTAGTTTAAATCCAAACTTAAATCAAATTGTCACCATTCAAGACTTGTACGAATTGTATTGCACGAATGCCAAGGGAATAATAGAGGAACAAAGTAATGAATAAAAACGTAAAAGAAAGTTTCTATTACATTTGATTTATATTGAAATGAATATTCACCCCTCCGGCTATTCATTTTTCATCAGGTAACCTACTAGATCTTAGCCCAAACTTATAAGAATAAATTTTAATATTATGCAACTATGAATCAATGGATTGGTTTGCCTGTGTATTCAATCACGACGATGATGATGATACGCTCATCCCAAATTCCTTTCTTTACTCGCTCTCGTCTATATAGCGGCGGTTATTAAGTGTTGATTTTAGCTCGGGGAAGGGCGGTTCCTTTAATTGTAGTGGACAATAGCTTTCCTTGTACCCCAAACACAATAGACTTGGGCAGGTGGACGACGTTCAACAATTCAAACAAGAAAAAAACAGGGGACTTTTCGTGTTTCATACGTTAATTTCGTAGTTAATAAAACTCGATAGAGGCGGTATTTCCTCCAACAACTTACACAACAAAAACTTACATAATGCTAACAATGTCAAGAATTCTTAGAGAAATATTAAACGTTGAATTATTAAAATCTCATCAAGAGTTCAGTTTAGATCAAATAAATGCAGAAAGATACAGTCATATACTTCGATTAACTTTACCTCTGAGAACGAAGCTTCAATTTAACGAAGTCATAACATTTACTTAAAAATAATCCAATTTGGACATTAACATTATTATTTTGTTTACTGAAATAATTTTTGTAACTAAATATGTTTTTATTTTGCAGAATTTTACATATCAGAAAGAATTAGGTAAGATTTATTTAATTTATAATAATTTAGAACTAAACATAACAAAATCTATGAAGCAACACAAATATTACTCATCATTAATTCTACTATTAATTCCAATCAAATTTAACTAAATTTCAGAAAAATATTAGAAAATTATAAAGCTCACAATTTTTGATACAGTAACAAGACATTATAAATATTGAACCGCAAAAAAACTACAATCAAGTGGTTTTAAAGTATGCATGAAACACTAACCATATTTGCAATTTGATCATGTTCTAATTATAATCATACATAATTTCATATAAACGCATTGTTCTCAACATTACGTAACTGCTGCGTATGGTTAGATAGAAAAAAGTGGTTACATTATGACGAATCCGAGCCACCAAAGTTTTATTTTTACACCAGACGCTCGCGTCTCTGACTAATCACGGAATATCGTTGCAAAAATAAACCGTTTAATATGATTCGCAAATGAAATCGAGATAGAAACATCATTGCTCAAAGTGCTATATAGTTTACACGCTCCAGAAAAAAGTATGCCATGAATCATCAATCTTACATTCAGTAAGATAGCTTTAATTTGAAGCAAATAAATTCTTCAAATAAATTATGACTTTATATTGAATAAATATTTCTAATAAATGTTAGAAGAATATTATGAAATATGCATGTTTTTACAAATAAAACATTCGTTCAGTTTTACAATTTGATGAATTATGATTATTGAGTATTAATTAATTAGTGGTACAACTAATAGTTATCAATAAAGCATAATTAATTACGTCGTAATGAAACACAAATATTGTTAAAATAATTTCATATAATAATTAATAATTGTGAGTTTAACTTATAGTTTTTTTTTAAATGTATATAAATTATTTTGTGACTGAAAAGTAAAGAAAATCGTAGCAAAAACTGGTAACTAATATTATAATGCGTAAAACAATGCCTTTTTATGAGCATAATTAGAACACAATCCAATATCAAATATGGTTAGTGTTAATAACTCTTATAGTTTTGGCTTTCGATTCACTATTGTACGGTTTTAAAATCTTCAATTAGATTGGTTTGATACAGTCCGGGAAATTGTTGGTACCGAATATTGTTTGGCTTAAACTTAAGTAGTTCTAAGTTTGAATAATAATAAAACTATCATAAATTCATTGTTTTAACAGTAATTATCAAGTTTTTTCTTCTGACAAGTATTATTATATATTTTTTAGAGGTAAACAGAACTGTAAAAAGGTCAAAAGATAATTCGTAGTAAAATTATAAACGTTGAATGAACACTAGTTTTTTTATTTGTCTTTTTTTGTATATTTTGGGATGGGTTTTTTAAACGATTGTTTGTGGTCAATGGAGTAGTACTATTGTTATTTCATTCATCGAACTTGAATCTTTCTTTGCACGTGTGAAAAAAACTGTGGTGAAACATTCTTCTTGAAAAGGAGAGACCAAATAAAACTGTACTTCTCGAAAATGGTACGCAATAAAACGTCCGGAATGTGCTAAAAGCATTGCCGTAAACTTTTATGGTGTTCTCGATGTGATGTAGTTTACTTATATTAACAAACCACAATGATTAACAAAATTTATTGTAAAAAAAAATACAGTGAAATATTCTAAATTAAGTCATAATAAATATCAGTTAATAATATGTTTAACCACTTTCATTTCAAAAATAACAAAACGCAATACACCGCATGACAATATTCATGATATGCTGTGATAACAAAAACAAAAACAGTACGGTCAGACATGTGGGTAGATTAGACAACACCAAAATGAAAGTATAGGACAACTTAAACTACTGAAAACTTCTCGACTTATGGATCGCAAAATGACAGGTGTCACTAGTGTCAATTGTTTTTATATTATAAACAATTTGGTCGCAGTAATGACAGCTGTCACCTTGTGTCAAAGCGAGGGGTAGGTGCACTTTGGATTTGATGAACATATGGTCATAATGTAAATATAATTAGTTAATATTCATCAGAATGATCTGTGGTTTAATATCGGACCTTTGCAAGGACTATTCCTAATAGGTTTCAGAATGATAAAGCGTGACATTTTGACAATGTAATTGCGTAATTCTTAATGTACAACATAATTGAGTTTGTTTTGAAATTTTTAAACTGGACTATAGTAAACATCGGACTGATTGAATATTTCATTTTTAATTTAATAATGTGAAGACCTGTCATTTAGACTGAAATATGGATTAATGATTAAAACAAAAGTGTTAAAAAAAAGTTTATTTAATTAAAATTTTACTAGACTAAGAGCACATTTACATATACATATTTACTTCTGGTAAAGTTCCGTGTGTAATTAATGTATTAAATGGAAAAGTTTTTTTGTGATTTGTGATCATTTATCTGCCGATTGTTGGAAACCGACTTGGCGAAAAGTTCAGCTGCAAATGTCGTAATTCGTGTGGAAAAGCCGTGAATTGAAAACGATTGTTGTCGCCATCATCATCATCATCGTAGACAAAGAGGAGTGGTCCGAATCCCATTGTGCTTCTGCCCAGGAAGATAATAGCCGAGCCGAGCATTTCCGCTAGATTTAAATATTAACTCCCTTTCTATCATTATTTCTTCATCTCTCCTGTAGCGAGGAACATTCCAATTACCAGAAAGAGACGAAGACAGTTATGAATAAATGCTGTCAATGTAGACGAGAGAGAAAGCTTCTTTTTTGCGTAGTGAATGCAGTGCGTCGTCTTTGAGGAATATGCGGGTATTATATGCGTGAGAAAGGACTTCCATATATCGTGGACCACTTTTTTTTATATATATATATTTCTCCATTGCTCTTTATTAATCAGCAAAAGGAATTGTGAAAAGGCGAAATCGACAAAAAACAGCAAAGACAATTTCCCTGCATTCTAGTAAACGAACAAATTCAGTTGCAGACTTTCGCATAATTGCTTTCCACTTTGAAAAAAAAAACATTGTTTTCTTGATACATACGTATTTTTCAAAGCCGCTGAAGATAATCTTTCAAGCAATTAATTTTTGTTTTAAGCAAAATAGAGTGTACTAAATGGACAATCCCTAATATTGTGCAGTGTTTTCAACTTCTTTTTTGTTCCAAGGCATACTTAAACGTATAGCTCTTCGTGGCAATTCGTGTTTTCGTCACCATATAAGGCGATTTTGAAAATAATCAAGTGTGCGAAACGTACTTCTGTTCATGCCCAAACAATCACCTAAATTTTATTGTTTTTATAGAATGCGCAAATTTTATGTAAATATACGAAATTATTTTATAATTACTATTAAGTACTTAATAATTAGAATGTTTACTATTTCCTTATTCTTATAAAGTATTTATTTTAAAATATGTTACACGATATACAAGCGATTTTCTTGGCAAGTTACGTGTAATATTCACAATATGCAATTAGTAATGCAACTAAAGTAAATGATTTTAATACATAAAATGCATTTTATTTTATTCCTCTCAATAGATTTGAAAAGAAACGTCCTAATTTCCATGTCTATTTGTTGATTGGATAAAATAAGCATTATTAAGATTGCAGCGGTTAACATAAACGTTTAGTGATGAGCAACCAATTCTTTAGCTTTTGGCGATAAGTTGACTGAAGCAGCATTGCATGTAAAAACGTTAACAATTGCCCATTTGTTTATTGCTTTCTCATCAAATAAGCGAAAGGCTCACTCTTCGTGGACCAATGACAATTGGTTAAACATTCATAACTGTTGTGATTCGTCATGGCACAGACAAACCGCGTTTTCAAACAATATAAGATATTTTTTTTTAGATAATCACCTAAAATTAAATATTTTCTTATGAAATGCGTAAATGTTTCATCACTTTCATTTTGCATCAATTAGTGAAATTAGTAAAAACAACGTCGATTTTTATCTCGTTTGACAAATAGATATTTTTGTCTAAAGAAATCTTTATAGTAAAACTTGTATTAATATATTTATGTTTGGAACATAAAGGAAATGGAATATGGTGATTGAATGGTCACTACAATCAGCTAGCAGTAATTGCTTAATGCAATACCTCAGAGCAATGCGATTGCGGCCTGCGGTCAATCGAAATTGATTGATACTTAAGTGGGAGAAAACAAATTTGAAATTTCTCTCTCAACCCATGATACAAATGCATATATATATATATTTGTATCATGAGATGCACTTAATTGAAACCATTGACCCTCAGAGACTAAAACTCATAGATTTTTTTTTATGAAGGTCTTCGAACTGCGATTCTTTCGTAGGCGCCGCCAAGTCGGTTTGTTTTTTCGTGCTTCCGGCCAAAAGATTGGCATAGACGTTTGTTGTTGTTACATAATGAACCCGAGGGATTTTCGCGAACGGCGGCTATTGTGTGATGCGCGGAATGTATAATAAATTGGATGCGGTGGTGTTGTGTGCAAGTTATGTGAACGCATATGAAGATGATAATAATAATGCACCGCACAGCGCAGCGCAGTAGCTTCTAGCGAGAGAGGCAAGATGCGATATTGGAACAGTCAAGAGATCCGTGTGCATGTTATTTTAGCGGTATGACAAATGCTGAGAACTGCGAGAGGAGAGGTGAACGCACTGCGCGTCCGACTGCTATGCAAAATAATAATATTCACGGCACGACCTCCTTCTTTCCTCTCTAACTGACCATTTTAACACATTGATGGCTAAAACGTGTTGTCCAAAAAAAAAATTCAACGTGCATTTTCTGTCAGTGTGATTTAAAATTAATTTAAAATTTAAAATTATAAAATTTTAAAATTTAAAATTGGTAGCAATCGATTTTCCCAACAACCGAAATAAACAATTTGGTAGCTGAGAGGTTAGGGTTGCTGATTTTTCGAGTAAAATCATCCTAAGCGATGAAGCACATTTTCTTCTTGATGGTTTTCTTCACTGTTTGGTGCGGATTTTGGACTGGAAGCATCATTGGATCATACTTTTTTTGAAAATGAGGCTGGTCAAGCAGTGACTGTTACTGGTGCTCGATATCGCGACATGATAACACATTTCTTTCTGTTGGATGATATTGATATAGACGATTAGTGGTTTCAATAAGATGGTGCCACATGCCATGCAGCCGGTGAAACAATTCAATTACTGCAAGACACATTTCCTAGTCGTGTACTCTCTCGTTTCGGTGATCAGAATTGGCCCCCTAGATCTTGTGATTTAACACCATTAGATTTGTTTTTATGGCGTTATTTGAAGTCAATGGTCTATGTCAACAAGCCCACAACCACCCGTGCATTACAGGAGGAAATTAAACGCTGCATCAACGAAATTCAGCAACATTTATGCAAAATGGTTATGGAAAATTTCGATAAAAGAGTGCGTATGTACCAGCAAAGCTGTGGAGGCCATTTGCCCGATGTATTATTCCATAAATAACCCTATGCTATGTATATTATGATTCAATAAAAAAATCTCAACTTGAAGACTAAAATGAAGTACATTTTAATAAAATTATTTCGGAGATTGTAACAAATCATTAAGAAAAAACACAAGAATCCATATAGTTCTTGTAGTTAAATTAAAAATGATTGAGAAGTGATTAATTTTGATTACCGGTAAACAAAAAATCACGGTAAATTTGGATTCCCAAATGTTAAATTTGCAAGTAAACGTATTGAAAATAAAGTTTTTATCCTAGTATATGTAAAGTATTTGATATTATCGAATAGAAGCGTATTTTAATCAAGATTTTCACGGATTAATTTACGTGGTTTCCTATTATGTTTTACGTGGAAGCAATTACTGGCGTAAATTGGGGGATTACTGTAATGCAAGTAAAATAATCCGATACTCAAGCAAACTTTCATTGAATTTCTTTGTTAAATTATCATGAAAATACATTTTTTTTTTGTATTTGATACATGATTCTAAAACTGTAAACAATAATTAATACTATTATTCAAAATTGTATACTATTGGATTTTGTCTACTCTTTTAGGTTTTTGAAATTTCTATCTGACTAATCAGATTTCTGCCCATTTTTGGACCTTAGTTATCTCCATTCTTTAATCAATTACATAATTGCATAAAACTTTTAAAGTCTCGAGTATAATACGCACATTTTCCAATTTATTCTGCCAAATTCCCCGACTGACTGAAACCTGATTAATCGACCAAATAAATACATACAAACAATGAACTGCACAAAAAGAGTCTTGACTAAATACACGGAAAAACATAAAGGTAATTTTGTGTACTAATTTAATATTTGCTTTATTAAAAATTTAGTTTGGAAATTTTCAAATCGAACTGTAATGAATCCGAAACCGCACTATGCGAGGTATTGCTGTTTGTATACGTGTACATTACAACTAGATGAGTTTTCTACTAATAACAGTTCTGATTAGTTTTACACAACTTTTGTTGTCCTTTTGTTAATTTTTTTTTTGAAATATGCTTTCCTACAAATGAGTGTTATATAAGATTATGAAGCATAATGCACATGATTTGATTACACCGTAGTTATAACAAAAAGAGTCAATTACAGAATAGTATTCATATGATTATAATTATCTATAATTAAACCAAGTGATGTTTATCTTATTAATTCTGTAAGTATCAATAAAACTTCAGCTTATTCGTTTAATTTAACTACAGAAAACTTAAAAAATAATAATCATAACATAATAATCAATATTTCACACATATTCTAATTTACTTTGACAATAAATTAGTGATATAAACTTAAATTACATATAAAATATTATGATTTATTATTTTCTAGAAATAATTCGAAGCTAATAAAAGTATATATTTTTGTATCAATCGACGTATTTTTATTTCATTGAAGAAAAAAGTGCATTCTCATTATTCTAGCGTGAAAATTCCTGAAATGCAGATGCCACGTATAGATACATAAAAAAAAAACAAGTAAACAGCGCCTCTAATAAATTGAGTCTAGTCTAAAATCTAGATTCCAGTCTAGTCTCGAATCTATTTCCAACTCCTCCAGACTTGTTTCTTTTTCTTCAACTGCTGCCGGTATTGTGTCTTCCGGGGTGTTTAAGAAATGGCATAATTAATAGGGTGCGTGGAACGAGAAGACGCGCGCTGTTTCGCCGCGCAATAACTTTGAAAATAGTTGGAATAGCGCAAGGAAAACCCAAAACTGTGCACGGTTTCAACCTCAAGTTTCCTTTACAATATAAATATATACATATATATGTAACTTATAAATACATGCACGCCGGTACACTGTGGAGAATTTCAAGTCATTGGCTCAGTAGTGCGTTGGCTTTATTTCGTTGTGGACGTACAAGAAAATACACTACGAACTCAGTTGCTCGGTTCTTCAATGGATTTATAAAGTTCATCAACACAAATATAGCAAGAATTAATTAAAAAAAAATATGTAAGTTTAATTGTTTAAGATTATTATTTTCATACTTTTTTCTAGTTTTTAATTAATTAAATATAATACAAATAACAATTACATAAAATATTTACTGAGAAAGTAATGTTTCTTTTGGAACTTTAAATAACTTTAATAATTTATAAGCTAAAGCAATATATCATGTTTTTAGTTTGTAAACGTAACCTAAAATATGTCATCTTGACTTTACGAATGTTATTTTTATTTATTATTGGGTTATGTTGAATTTAATTATTTCAATTGTTTTCATCAAAAAAATAATTTAAAAGACAACATTTTTTAGGTTGTGACATTCTTAATTTAGGTTAGATTACGTTAACGTATTTGTTATAACACTAAAGATGCAACAGTTTAAATCATAGAAACTAACAGTTAGAAAGTATCATCAATAACTGTTTATAAAAATTGGACAATTTATATGATTCATTGAATACCTTAGTCGGATAAACCATGTGCAAACACTCCATGCACGTCAAGTACAGTTTAATGTGTGGATTATGCGTAAACCGCAATCAGTTTCAAATCTATTTATATACAATTATGTAATAGTTAAGTTCAAAATATACCATATTTATTACGTGGATTCTATGACAGATTATGTTGGTTACAATAACCGCGGCCCACGACCATTCCACAATTAGTCATTGTTAGTGAAAAAAAAAATAGTCGAGGTAATCTGGAATCTGAGAGATGCCCACAAGCTTCTTTCCATATGAAATCGAAACAGATTTCTTTCATTACTTTTTTTTTCTTCTCATATGTTTTCGAAATCCTAATTGGGATTTATTTCTACACTCCATTTCTTTTGGGGGATTTAAAGGCTTAAGAGATAAACGCTCCAAAGGAGAACCAGATGACAAACTCGAAACACGTCAATGCTAGAGTTTTTTTTATTATGTAATTACCGACTGCTATAAATATCAATTTACATTTATTACAAAAAAAAACGCGCGATTTAAATTATATTCCAAATATATTTGTTGGGTCGCGAAATAGCATTTGTGAGTAAACGAGCAACTGGTGAAATACTCTTACCAATTGACAGTACAAACTACAAACAATGTTGTTGAGACGCGAAATGACAGCTGTCACCTTGCGTGGAAACGTCAATATATTGGCAATTGGATAGCATTACAATTTTATTAGCTTTTGATTCTTTGTTCATGATTGTCTTAAGAATTCAGTTCAATAGAGATTATTCATTGGTGCTAGTATAATTGTTAGAAATAGTTTTACCTTTTTCTGAATTCTTAATAATTACCAATGTCTCTAATATATCCCACATATCATTTTCAGGAAACCGATACTCCATGATTTCATCATTAATTGTTGGAAATATTTGGCCTAAAGGTACCTCAGTTGTAAATACTGACAAGGCATAGTGATATTGCTTCTGCAGCATGTACTCTGCTATCAGTAAATTCAGAGCTTGACTCTTTGGTGAGATTTCCTTATGTTTGTTAGTTATCACAGTTCCAAGTGAGGTGTTCAATATTTTTATCATTTGCGTCCTCAAGTGAGCGATTAGATCCGTCAAAATCCCTTTATCCTCAAAATAATCATAAAGAAACCTATGGAAGTCATCCTGTGACAGTACGAGCTCAGAGCTGACGTTATTTCTTCTAATCCATTGTTTTATATTTATTATTCTGTGATAAAGTACTAGAAATTTAATGAGATGAACGAAAATTTTAGACACTACATAAATATGTTTGTATTTATTAAGAATTGCAGTACAATCACAAGGAAATATGACTATGGCTGATACAAGCAATAATAATTATTACATTTGCATATCTGCAAGCAATTACAAAAATCGATTACATAAAACTTTCTTGAAGTGAACATTGAAAACTTATCTCACATTATTGTAAATGTTTAAATTTTTCATAAATTCTTTTAGATATTTGGAATGAATAACTGTTTATATGATTGCAATTTATACAAATATCCATTTACGAATAAAAAAAAAAAGTCTCTTTTGTAACATGTATAAAATGAATTGAACTAAAGAGACGATAAACGAACCGATTGCAAGCACAAATACTCCATTGTGTGTACGATTCATGAGCCGTGACATTACTAGAATTTAATAATAACGCACACACAAACACACAAATATAAGCTCGCTCCTCTTCCTGCAACTGTTCCATCATCTTTTTTTAGAGCCCTGCAAAGGGGGGAACCGTGGATGTTTAAAATTAAAGTTTGTCTCGTTCGTTGCGAGAAAACTACAACATCTCTCTGTTGATTTTTTTTTATATGTGCAGCAAGCAATACTTTCTTCTTTCTATTTGCTTCACACAAAGCTTTATTGTCAGATGCACATTCATACAGATATACTTCCACAATATCAATGCAGAAGAGTTCCAATTCCATCTTCGTCTCGACCGTTCGTCTGATGCGCGCGTTTTAATTTGCATTTCGTTTTCTTCGGGTCGGGTTCAGGGCCATTCTGATCCCCATGCATGCATTACAAATTTCCGACGTGATGACTCCGAAAAAATAAAATAAAAAATGAAACTCCCCGGAACACATGTTCACTAATCGTAATTGTACACCCTTGTTAGATAAATATTTAAGATTGTTTTAATGGATTCGGACGCGACCTAAGGAAACGCATACTTCATCAGGAATACAGACTTCGTAATTGAGCGAACTTAATGATTTCTATCACAAATTAAACACACAATCCGTTGATTCTGATTTCATATTTATAAAGAACCACATATTACTTTTTTTTTTTAATTAGTAAATTTTGAAATCCAGAATTAATACTTATTTATTTAACTATTAAAGAAATACATACAGTAATGCCTCAAAGATTACCGCACTGATTGAAGCCTCACTATGAAAGGTGTTGCTGTATATCCAAATCCCGATGAATTTAAGCATAAACTCGAAGTTAAAAGTCCTCGATTAGTCCGATTTCCACACATTGACACAACAGATTACCGCACTGATCGAAGCCTCACTATGAAAGGTGTTGCTGTATATCCAAATCCCGGCGAATTTAAACATAAACTTGAAGTTAAAAGTCCTCGATTAGTCCGATTTCCACACATTGGCACAACAGATTACCGCACTGATCGAAGCCGTACTATGCGATGTTTTGCTGATTGGATGTCTTCAATTATCTGTATTTCCTTAAAGATTAAAATAAATTAAAACTTAAATTTAAAGAAAAAATTCTTCATTTTATTACTATTAATATCCATCGTTCCATCCCAGTTGCTTAACTATTGAAATATCTCGCATAGAAGCGATGTTTAAATTAAAGAAAAACATGTTATTATTGTTGTTCTCTTTGAAGTATAAATGAGATGTATTTTTTTTGTAAATAATTTAGTAATAACTTAACTTGAAAAGCGAAGAGCGTTCATTACGCATAATTGGCTTTCGTATTCTTCGCTTTTGACTAATTCCAGTTTTCCTGCTGGCAAGAGCTCGTCTGATTACGGCCCTTTCGTAATATGATTGCTGCGAGTGCTGCAAGACAACTAAGTTAATTACGAGTTCGGGCAATTCGTTGCTTTCGCTCGTGTTCATTTCTCCGTAAGATTTGCAAAAAAAAAAACAATTATGTAAACATCATCAAGTTATCTAACTTACGTCCACTACATAGGCATAATTGATTGTGTTTATACATCGGATACGATCGAAATTACTGCAGACGAAACGAGCGAAACGCAAACATATAATAACCATAAGAATTTCCTGGCCGTTAAAGCACATTATAAATAGGATTCACTTAAATTCTCGCATTCTGCGTTCAGTTTCCTTCCCTACCTGTCATACAAATTGCGAATCTCCAGATCTCGGAACGGCTTTCCGCTGACATAAAATGTAATTGTTTCTAGGGAATCTCGAATATTTAAATGCGCATCTTTTCTTTTTTATTTCAAGTTTCTGGAAGAAGGCCTCTCCGTATCTGCAATTGCTTCAGCATATTTGTATGTACGTATAAGGCTTCTGTGCTTTGCTCATTCATATTGAAGAAGGAATTAAAACGGAGACTTTATACTAAAAGCCTTAAATTCAGTTTTATCCCTCATTTTATGATGATATTACTTTTCAGTTACTTGTTTATATAGTTTATTGATTTGTTTCAGATACGTTGTACACTTTAGATCATTCAATATTTATTTATAATACATTTTCAATCAATATTAATTTATATATTTATGAAGTTACTAGAAAATATATTCAATAATATTAGATCACTGGGTATTAGAAGTTTGGTGAAATCACTTTATTTTGTAGATTATACCACAAAAAACAAAAACAAAACCTATTAAATTAAGAAAAAAATAAGCACTCTTGTATACATATTTGAAATTTATATTTTAGGCAACTTTAGTTGCTCGTTTGTAACTGAAGCCACTGAAGTGGTGTCATTTGGAAATGTATAGTACTGTTTGTGTTAGCGCAACGGTTTTCCTGCTTGACTAGAGACAGTGTAGTCAACGGTTCGAATCCCAGTCATAGTTCAAAGCTTGGTTTCCTTCTCGATAGGTTGGCAAGAATATTTAGCTGGGAGATTAAACGTCTGGAAAATCCTGCTTCCTAATTCATGTACCATGTTAGGGAGTGTTGGAAACCCAGACAACAAACTTTTTTTTAACCATATTAACTTTATTAGATTTTAATTGATAAAAGTGGTAAAATTTTGTAACTTTATATGCATTTGTTATATTAATTTTGACAGTTATTAAATGTGAATAAGCAGTAAAATTAGATATGTAACAAAAACAATGTATAGTTTTAATGCTGACCCGCGGGCCGCATGTGGCCCAACAATAAATAAAATGTATATTTACAAACTTTATGATATTTTAACTAAAAGTTTGTTATAAAGATTTCAAAAATTATATAATTATTTCTTGTACTTTTTGGTGCTGAAACTTAAGGAAATAATAAATAAGTTTTAAAAACTGTTTATTTTTAAAATGTGTAATGAGATTACATACACAAATGCATATAAATTATATGGACTATATAGAAAATAACTCATGTTTGTGCACGCTCATTATTTGATCATGTGACAAACATTTGGTTTGCTATTGGTTTGCATCTTCCCGGTCGTTACGTAAATAAAACGTGGTGAAAGGCGTACGTACAGGATGTGCGCGGCCCGCTTTATTTTTAGGTTTTTCAAACAAACGACCGTTTGGAAAACGGGTGGTTTCCTAGGCACCGAAACCGCCGCCGACTATTAGATTTATGCGCCTCGTCTTCCAGCCTATATAAGTCTTATTTATGTGCTTTCTTTTGCGCCCTCGAGGATACGCGTCGCGCAATTAACTTTAGTAAAGGTGTAGTGTATAATAGTTATAAAGTGGACGCACCTTTTCTTCATTCCCCCTCATTCGCGTTGGAATTGACTCTGAAAGGCCTACTTCATGATAATTTTTATTTTTTTTTAATTCACAAAACATTGCTTAACCATTTATAACAATTTCACGCACTTCGTCAAGATTATCCTATCAAATAGATTTCAACTCACATTATACAAATTACTACACAGTCATGTGCATCTAGAAAATTTGAATGAAATATTTTTATTTTATTTTTCAAAGTTTCCCAAGTGTTTATAATACAAGTACACAGTTTAATCATACCGTAATAATAGGATAAATTGCTTGTTCGCCGTCGAGCGCAAATTACCGCAGTTCGAGTAGATTCAAGTCAACCCTTTTCCGTTGCTACGCATTCGCCCGCAAAGTTTGCTCTATGGTCGCCTAGCAACAAACAACAAACTTTGCTATTGGTAACTTAGCTAGTACACATATATCAGCGACAAAACTATCATTTCTGATGTATACATTTTCTTCTTCATGTTTAAATATCTTCATTAAAATTAGAACGCAGTTGGATATTTAATTAATTTATGATTTATTTTATTTAAAGTTAAGCAACATTTCTTGATTTCTTCTTTATGAGTTTTAAAAAAAAATCAACTTTTCAAGGTTTTTATGAGATTAATTTTAACGATTTCTTTTGATTTGATTTTAATATGCTATTATATATTGAAATATATGACAAGTTAAGTAAATTTGTCATGTCAGGATAATAAATGCACGTATTAAGTAAGCCACAAATAATATATGTGCATCAAAGAAGCAATAACAATAACAGGAGATCGATGTATTTCCACAAATGGAAAGTAATTTATCTAAATACAAAGAGAAAAAAATATAAAATACACCGACTATTACATATTATGACATCAATCACTCCCCGGTGAATTATTCGAACTGCATGCAATTTGATCGTATCTACAATATAGAAATTATTAATCAACTGGCCGAAGGTCTCCAACAGATTGCTTTTCTCAAAGAGCAAATATCAATCAAACTAAGAAGAATTAAATGCACGCCTTTAGGATATTCTAAATACGCTTGTAGAATCTAATTTATAAATATTATCTGGATAACGACATCTGCGTACTACGTAGGATACAGCAAATACACAGTCGAATTCTTGTTTTTTGTTTTTGTAAACAAGTTCATTTGCCCAACTTCTTTCACACGTGTCTTTCATTAACATGTTGCTTCATTTTAATTTTTCCTCCGGAATATTTTCTCGCTCATTTTCAAACGCGTTGAATCATGTAATTCTAAATATTTCTGTCTTAAATTTCGTTTTTCAACAGCACTTCTCAGCGTATGGGTAAAAACGCGAAATGACAGCTGTCATCTTAGGTTATAAAACGTCAAAAATTTGATGTTTTATAAACAAATTGGGTTGTGGTACAACTAAAAACAATTATGTTTGGGTCGCGAAATGACATCTGTCAATATGCTATAAAACGTCAAAGAATTCATGTTTTATTTACAAATTAGGGTGTTTTAGAAGCAAATTACAATTTATTTTTTATTTGAACATTTCAATGGTTTACAATTACTTCTAGAAATAACTAATTAATACTTTAATGAGATTTAAAATTTATTTTATTAAAATTATGGTTTGCGTTTGAAAATAGATAAATTTGCTATAACTTATTTTTTCATTCTTTTGCAGAATAAAAATCTCAGGACAAGGATCATTCAAAACAGGTATGAATATGGATAGATTTATACAATTTTCTAAAAACAATGGTGTAGATTTATTAGAGTTTTCTCATGTGATAAATTTCTCATTTAGTTTAACCATAAAGTATAAATATTATATTGTTAATTGTTATAGTGAAAAATTAACAATATTTTTTTTAAATAAAAGTTGTGCGAATTTTCTTTAAGATCGCAATAGTCGATGGTTCGGCTCCGCTCCGTTCCATACGAACTCATTTCCCCCAATTTTATTACCCAGAAAGCCGAAGGAAATGCGTACGTATGTGGCTTTTCCAATAGCCAAAGATCCGGGTCGAAATGAGAGTGGAAATAAAACCCGACGAGCGTAGGGATATTTAGGTCTATCGCTTATGAAGAGAGGTCGTATAATAAAGTTGGGTGGGAAGGGAGAGGAGAGGGTGGTTTCTTAATACGAGCACTGTGCGACAGCATTAAGTGGTTTTGGTGTTGAGTGACTTTCCGTTCCTTCCACCTTCGCACACTTTCATATTTTTTTTCTTCTTGCTTCTCCATTTTCATTGCGACATCATCCTTCTTCTGTCAAGAAGTTCGCCAATTTTCAGGTCAAGTAAACTTTTCAGCCCCCATCCACTCACTATTTATATTATATTTCGTCCGGAGGAAAAATTGTTTTCTTTTTTGTCTTTTCAATTTTTCCCATTTTCTCTCCCATCCAAGCACACACAAACACATTGAATCATCATTTAATGAACATGTGTTCTCGCTTCTAATAGGATAACGAGTCTTAATTGGCGCTATTTAATTTAGAATTGCGGCTGACGCACAAGAGTTTAACTATAAAGAGTATTTCCCCATCAAAGAAAAGTTATTATCGCAGCTGTCGCTACAATTATGCGCGAATTTTTACATTTGTCATCCAGAGGATTTCCAATATTCCTAAAGTAAACTTTCCGGATTTATGAGTTTTCCACCCGTCCATTTCGGAACGTTTCAAGCGCGAGAGAAAACGAATAATAAGAAATATGCAGTGCAGATGGCAATATTTCAGTCGGATAAATGTGCAATGTTTAACGTTCGTCGAAAACATATAATCCCAGCCACTTGTTGCGCAGCAAATGCAAAAACCTTGTGCAAATTCAATTGTATTTTTTTGTTTCGTTTCGTTTGATAGGCTGCAATGGAATTTATGTTGATTTGTTTGATTATTAAGTGGCTTTGGATTTGAGCGCTTCGATTGCTGACGGCGATAATTAAGCTGCCTTCAGTCAATATAATCTAATACTTCTGCAACCAATTCGCAAGATTACAACAACATTTCCCAGTTGCTTACCTCCAATCTGACTAGTAAATCGTAAATACCGGTAAATTTTCATAATAAATACCGGTAATTTCAGTAATCCAAATAAAATGAAACAAATTCAAATGCTTTCAAAAACAAATCTGATGATATCGATGAATATTTTGACTATAATTCGATCAGTGCGGATTCACTATAGTACGGTTTGAAAATTTCAAAACAAACTAAATCTTAATTGTATAAATAAAAGTCAAGAGCTGTTTATTTTTATGCGGTTTTAAAATCATCCTAATTATCCGCACCACTATCGAGGTATTTAATGCATTGAAATAAAGTTAAATTCAATAATACGAACTTTTCAACTAAAAACCATCCATTGTATAATTGTTTCATCGACTTTGCAGAGAATTTTTGAAGACCCAGGTGTTTCCATGGAAAAAGGATTCAGGGTGGGCCCGAGTGCTGAAGTTGAGGATGAAACGAGTAATCTGAGCGCACTAAAACCCGTAGCAAAACGAGAGCGAAAGAAGAACATAAAGCTGCAGCTTTTTACTGAAACCATATTTGAAATTCCATCTAATTACCGTGCATGCTCTTCCACGAATTGAGGAGACTCTTTACGTAAATCTCGCTCACTCGCTCTTTCTGCAGAGCATTATTTTTAACCGCCATTATGTAGTTTCGCCCCGCTTTCAATGAAGATTTATGAACGCGGATGAATGAAAATGTTCAAAACCCGGCTCTCGCAATTAATCCTCTCGCACCCCACAACTTTTTTTTTTCTTTTTTATTTATTATTTCTTCTACTTCTTCTCATTCTTCGTTCAACTTCCAACCCCGCTTCGCACGTACATCCGATGTACATTATTTTTTTGCCCCTTCATTCACCTTGAACTGAGAGGCGCCCCAATTTTTGCTGGGGCTTTGTTATATAAATACGGATCCGTCTTTAGAAAGTGAGTCATACGCACAGTCGAAAGAGCGCACAGATGGTCACTCTCCTAAATTTGCAGTGCTGAATAACGTAACGCTGCACAAGAGACCGAAAAATCTTCCAATCTGCACCAGCTGCGAATGCCATCGTTCCGGATCGATCGTTGCAATCGATTCGATCACTCACTTGCATAATTTAAAATACATACAATTTTTTTTTAAATGATGCAATTGCTTCACAGCGCTGGACCAGAAGCGTGTAACGAACTTTAATTGATTTAACATCGATCGCGTTAATGCGTTTAACTGAAATTTATCTGTTTTAAAGTGTAATTGGGAACAATTCCGGAATTGCCCCCAATAATAAAATAGCATCATTTCCATTAGAATCCAATTCCTCTTACGCTTTGCAGGTTTGTTTCAAGATCCCTCAAGACTTGAATAAGTAATCTAACAAGTTTATAGCGAGAAGCTACAAATACACAATTATACAACTTCTTAATTATGAAGATTCTTTATTTATTTTTCTGTAAATAAACGTACGTGCACATACTCCGTACGACGATTGCAATTATCTGCTTCGTATTTACAGGAGATATCAGTTCATTACTTTTAATTGGGAAGAATCTTGATGCACGCTCCAATAAATCAATTAATTTGCAAGAGATTATTTCATTTAATTTATTGCTTTAATCGTCGCACTAATTAATTTAAACAACAATATGTTATTGCAACGAAATGAAACTAAGCAATCAACATTGAAACAATCGTTGTTTACAAAATGTAAGTTCTATTAATCAAGATTATAATATTTTCGATTTAATGAATAAACCGATATTTTTTAATAACAATAATTTATTAATAATGGATACGAAGGGATTCTTCCGACGACGACGAGTAATAAAACGCTCAAAAGTTTACTTCATGTGAAATAAATTGATGAAAGCACAGATTCATATTTTAGTGACTTTCTCAGAAACTATAATAGATAGAATGGATCCAAAAGATACATATGAAACTTGAATATTTGGGCAATGTTTAATCCATTTGGATAAAATTTAAGAAGAAGTAGTAAAAGTGTATACTAAAATATTTGCTTAATACGATAGTATATAAATAATAGTATTGTGTTAAAAAATATATACTTTTTATGATCCCATTCAAGATTATGAGTTTAAATGAAAAAAAAAATGCCTGGATAGGAAGTGATTCTTCCTGGAAGGGTTTTCCGCCGATGCGTATAAAAAAAAACCGCCCAGTTTAGGTGTAATAAAGTAAAATTGCCGAGTAGAATGGGCGCATTAAATCTACTTTTTTTTTTTGTTAGTTTTTGTGTAAAAATGAAAAAAAATAAAGTCTAATTTATAGCGGACGCGTTATAACGTTCGGGTTACCTAAGGCTGCGAGGGAATCCCCATTCCAAAACGTTGCTTGCCAGACATTGAAGTTCCGCTGCGGAGTCGCGTTTTAATGGATTTCCTCCTTTTCGTAATATTCACACCACTACCTTCGTTGGGGATTTTGAACTCGCGTTCACCCCTTCTCGCAGAGAGTCTAGAGACGAGGACGAGTTTAATCTCTTCAAATTACCAGTTTTCGTTCAAGATTTACTTATATGGAATTACATGTAATAGTGAGAGAGAGATTGTTAGAAGCATTATGCCCATTGTCATTTCCAGAACCTTTCGCGTTCCGTTATTTATTATTCAAATTACCTGACGATTCCTACGGGACATTCTTCGAGACGCGTGCATTTATCTAAGCTTGTTTTCTATCTTTCTTTACACGCTAATTTTCTAGTTTTTTCTTTTATTTGACCCGCGAGCTTTATTAGTTACCTCGTTGTCTGCATTCAAATCTGCACAGGTCTAATGAAATTCCGCTCTCGTGCAGACTCTCCTCAAATATCATTACCGCCGTCCGCTACTTGTTTTCGTAATTACACGACCTCGCGCCAGGTACATACATGCACACACATACGAGCTTTATTAATTACTTTACAGCACCGCAAAATGCATTCGGGACATAGTTTTATCATTATGATAGTCGGTTTATATTGCTCCGCAAAATACAGAAAACTTAACTTTCAAATATAAACTATAATTAAACAGAAATACTGCAGTCGTTTACATTGTAATTTCTGAGCGTATATAAAACTATAATAGATAGAATGGATCCAATAGATGGAGATGAATGTTGGATAGTTGTGGAAATGTAGCGAGTATTGTAATTTGCGTTCAAATATGAAGTAAGAAAAAAAAATATCGAAAAAGCTTCAGATTTTTGCGATTTTCTCAGAAACTATTATAGATATATTGGATCCTAAAGATGCACATGAAATTTAGATATTTGGGGAACGTAGCCAGTTTTGAAATATTACTGTGGATGCATCCGTTTCGCTATAATTAGGATTTATACAAATTACCGATTTTTTAAATTACCGGTTTTTTAATTTCAACTTGTTGAGAAAACCGGTTTAAACCCGTGTTTAATGTTGAAGTAATGAAAAATTAACGCTTGAAAAAGCAGTGTCTTTCATATTTTAGTCTTCTCAGAAACTATAATAGATAGAATCGATCCAAAAGATGTATATGGAAGTTGGATAGTTGGGGAATGTACCGAATAACATCCTCTACACATCAGAGTCTTCACATTTTAGTGATTTTGTCATAAATTATAATAGATAGAATTGATACTAAAGATGCATATGAAAGCTGTATATTTAGGGAACGCACTAGTTATTGCTGCATTAACTTTGTTGGCGTAAAGAACAAAGTGTTAATATATTCGATAA